AGCTTCTTACGGACCTTGTTGTTTAACCGGTTTTTCTAGTTACTTGTATATAAGAGTGAATCGGTTCTCTGTTCATTTGTGACGCTGAAGAAGAGTGATGGATGTCACTCGAAACGTCCGGAAATAAAAAATCCGTAACTGATCCAGTAGTAGAGTTTGAATTTTCTTACGAATGATGAACCATGATACGTGTTTTTATTAGGTAGATAGCTTTCTTGCAAGTTCCTGCTCAAAGGCTGACTACAAGCAGACATTGACAAGAACAGTGAGTACAGAATGTAACGCCACACCAATTTAATTTCTTGGTTAACGGATTTTTCTAGAATAATAATGGAGCGGGCGGGCGGGCGAAAAAAATAAATAAATAAAAATAGGCCTAGGGATCCGATTATGGCCCAAAATGGTACGAAAGGAGCCATGAAGTCAACACACCAGACTGGTTCAAAATTAAACAATGAATTTTGAACTTTTAATGATACCACTGTATTGAAAGATGGAATAACTGTAACAACTAGGAAGAAAAAGACTGTTTTCAACTGTTCAGGGCAAAATATGAGCATTTTGCAGTTGATTCTGAAGTTTTATTTTTATTTTCAAATCAGAAAAAAACGAAGCGGGCGAATCCGTTAACCAAGAAATTAAATTGGTGTGGCCTAATGAGGAATGATATAAAACCATATGCTAAAATGAAGTTCTATGTTCTACTAATCTAAGTTTCTATCTCTTTAGCATGGAGAGTGGATACGTACCAGTAATACATAGATACTAGTAGGTAAGAGAAACATAGTAACTACTATTCTATTATACTATACTATTCTAGTCAAGCTATTAGGGGGTTTGACTTCTTCTCTGGAGGAATACCAATACATGTACAAACAAAAACGTATTACATGTACCCGGCATACACTGTAGCAAAGGTGGATTTGTTAAAAAATACATCATCACAAGAACCATTTCACGTCATCAGCAAAACAGCGAAGTTGATTTTGAAAAACAAACTGCCATGTGCAGCTGCCCCTGATATTAAATGCAAGAGTTTGCTTTCTACCTCATGGATGTTCATGTGACAAGCTTCATTAGTATTCATGAAATCTGTCAAGCACATATGGCTTTCACTGTTATCAGTAATAGCACTTCTTTTGTCAGTTTCATGTTGTGGATACATGAGGTAAAACTATTGAGTGACATGCTTAGGTCCTCTTTATGTATTTAAAAATAAAGTGAATAATTTCATTTTCTTCTCAGCCTCTAAAAATGTTTGTTCCATCAACAAAATCCTTTGAAAGGATTGACATCATGCTACATTTTGTAAAATATAGGATGCAGCTTTTTAGTAGTCTAGTGCATGTTAACAGTCCTTTGATGAAAAGTCTCTAAGGATCTGTGTTTTTTCATCCATACACAGAACATTGCATGGAGCTACATTACATGTGTACACCAGGCTACACAATGATCAAAATTAACCTTAAGAGCATAACGTTAACGCCAGTGCAATGGCCAAGTCTGCAGAGTGATTACCTTGCGTTCAGTAGATACGATCCCAGGCCGAATCATACAAAACTTTAAAAATGGTACATACTGATTTCTCTGCATAGCCCTCAGCATTCAGGAAAAAGCATGGGAGTTAAACACACACCAGTACCAGTGGACTAGCCCCCTGATGTAGTGATTGCACAATGGTATGGCACCCGAAGAGCTACAGAAAAGAGATAGGCAGGCAAGAACTTTGAAAGAGCAGAAGAGTGCTGACCTTGACTGTTCCATATCCCAGGCCCTTTGATCTTCCACAGTGAGTACACGCACTTCCGCAGGTCATCACGAGGGTTCCACAGGGGGAGGGGCTTGCAGGACTCCTCGTCTTGCCATATCGCAGGCGGTGATTGGAGGAACAGGTTTTGAGAAATCCACTCTGCATCAGTGATCCCGGACAGGTAGGGGAGTGAGTGGAATATGGTCTGCATGGAAACACCGCAAGAGTATGCATTAGTACATGTGTAGGTATCACCTCATTTGCTTCGATTCTCTATCATATATTCACCACTATAAAAAAATGCATATTAAGAGATCTCCAATGCAATGTCAGCCAGTAAACTGCACTACTGCATATCTAAACTGTATTTTGCTAAGGATTGCTGCATTAGAGATCTCTCAAAACACAAACTTTTTGAAAGTGGTGGATATACATTGTGTGTAACCTGGTGGATGAATGATAATGGAGGCGAGAACAAAGCAGAAAAAAGCAGAAGAAACAAACCTCTACACTGTAATCCTGTCGAGGCCTAAAGTTGTAGATGTACCAGTTCTCAGTCAACTTCTTCCACACCTTATTGGCTGTGCTGTAAAGACATTCATGGAGACAACAAGTTGTTTGTTTGTTTATTTGTTTGTTTGGTAGTTTGGTAGCATTAAAAAATTGACAGTGAAAAGGAAAAACATGATTGCTGTGATGATCTCTTCACCCTGAAACCCTATGAAAATATAGATGTTTCCACATTTTGATATGCAAATCATGTAATAACCATACTATCATTAATAGTCTTCATTGTGCGAATGTCAAACTCCATACTGCTCTCTATGAAAGTTTCAAGAATAACTGAAGGTTACACAAATGCTCACATGTTTTCTTTGGCATCCAGACACGGCCTGAGCAAGGAGTGTTTCTCCATCAACCTGGTGAAGCCCTGCTCCTGACAGTACCTCCACATCCACTGCAGGGCAGACAGGGCAAACACACGCACGGCGAAGTGAGGCACCAGTGCCCACGGCATCACAGCAAGGAACGCTTTGTCAAAGAATTCCTCCTGGAAAAAAATAAGCTCTGTTCAAGTCATACAAGGGCGAGGTAAGAATAATACTGAAAAAAAAGACATAAACCTTCATACATGAAACTCGCTTTCACAAAAGGCAACACTTCTGGACATTGCAGTACCTGTTCATGTTTATCCTCCAACAAAAGGCCTAAGTGAGCTGTAATCTCCATCTGGGAAGCCATGATGCCAATCCTCTTGTCTGAATCCTGAATGGGAAGAACATTAACTTAGTAACTAAGTATTCACATAAGCAAAATTTCGTGGTCTGAGAAAAATGGACATATTCGCAGGACTGCATTTTTGCGGCAGGTGAGAAAGAAAGTTGGTGAATTATTTGTTTGCGGTAATGATAAATTTGCTGTACAGAAGTGACTGCGAAAACTCTGAATATAAAGTACCAATATAAAGTGCTTTCTAGTATGCAAACAAAACACAAACCCACTGACATGTCTGAGTCCGTCCCACAGGTTTGGCTGCAGACTGGGGTACTTGTGCAGCAGCAGGAGCAGGCACCACTCCACCATGTACCGCACAGAGATCTGGTTTTCTGCAGCGAGTGTGTTGAACAGGTGGTCCACGTACTGAGCTGCCAATGGCTGGGGAGGAAAGTTCACACATAGATTAGCAGTGTCCTTAGCCAAGTTTTCAGTTTCCCTGTATGCTAAGACATGCTAAGGACTCGAATGATACAATGTAAGATGGCAAAGTGGTCTTTTGGTTAGGGTTGTTGACTTAGAATCTGAAGGTCCTGGGTTTGAATCCCCATCTAACAGGCCCAAACGCTGTGCTCTTAGGAAAGGGAGATCAACCAAAGTAATTAAAGGGATGGTAGAATCAGCTTTGGTAAAGAAAACTTTTGAAAGGTGATTTCTTGGTTCTTGGATCTGTGACTCAAATTTGATGAGATGACAGCCTACCTCTGAGATGTACGGGAGGATGATGAGCACGACCTGCCACACCCTGTTCTTGTAGCGGTGAGGAAACGCGTTCAGGTGGTACCTGTGCACCCTCTGGGTCATCTCCTGGTCCTGGGGGCACAAACAGAGGGAGGAACGGACATTCTGTAAATCCACTTTTTTTATTCCAACGTGTAATAGTGTTTTATCTTATGTTTGTTGTAATCGTTTTTAGCTATATCATGTAATTTGTAACCGTTCTTGTAACGCCATAGTTTTAACATAAAAGTGCAATAATCTAGTGCAATAAAAAGTGCAATAATCTAGTGCAATATTTGATGCTTATGTTTAAGTTATGTACATGTTAAATATATTCTACCTGTGTATCCCATTGTCAAAGCTGCCCAATTCAGCCTGCGGGCTGCAATTAGCAACTTATATGTATGTTGTATGTATGTTCCTTTCGAAATAAACCAGTCTATATATAATCACAAGCTGTGGTGATGGCACACTCAAGATTATTCAACTTATTCCTCTGTGTCCTTATACCAACACAGAGGACAATACAGTACTCATATTCACCTGAGCGAAGTGAGGAAAGTCATGTAAAGTGCCTTTCCCAAGGGCACAAGGTCGGTGGCATGGCAGGATTCGAACACTCTACTTATGCAACACGACCCCAAGGGATGTAAATCCATCTGAATGTTCTTCATTCACAATCGTTTGTTTATCATAAATAAAGGGTATTGATTGATTGATTGATTGATCAAGAGCCGACGTTTTGCTGACTGTCTGTCATCTTTATCAGGGAAATTATCCCCACCTTCTCCACAAGCCTGGTGAAGAGCAGCTCGATGAAGGGTGTCCACTGCGTCTGGTGCCTGCTGATGCTGACCAGGAAGTTCACAACACAGGCACGAACCTGCTTGTCATCCCGCTCATCACTGTAACAGCAAACAGCTGTGTGAAAATTTACACCTTTACACAAGCCATATATTCAAAACGAGAAAAATGAACAAGCAAAAGATCTTACATCCAACACTAGAAACATAATTCTCCTATTTTGTCTCCCCCTCCATTGTGTTTTGTCCCAATGGAAAAGCCAAAGAAAGAAAGAAAGAAAGAAAGAAAGTAATTCCACATAATTTATATGCAAATATGAGCATCTAAACAGATCTCCAATGCAACATCAGCAATCAAAATGCACTCCTGCATATCTAAGCTGCGCATACCTGGGGGATGCTGCACCATATCAATATCTCTCAAGCAGAATGTTTTTCATGGCAGATATACATGTATGTAACCCGGTGGATAATTAAGTTCTTACCCTTTGTATGCCTCATTAACACTGCATTTGTTCCCTAGCTGTTTCACATACGCGATGGTGTCCAGCTCTGTCCTGAAAATTCATCAAACAAACACTCAGACTCAGTTTGAATTGAACCAAGAAATTGTACAATTCAGAATTTAAATTTAAATGCATCATTTGCAATGAAATATGTTACATTTTATATGTGATATGCGATTTTATGTGGTTTGTGATTCTAGTGCACTACTGCAGCTGTACTTTGTGTGAAAGATCAGTGCAATTCAGTTCCCCTGTCAACGGCTTCTATACTGTACCTTTTAGAAGTTCAATAAACCAGTCATATAATATACCCCACCCCCATATTACCAGGCCTGTGCACAACTTTTACTTTGGTCAGTCTTCTAAGAAGGTGACAGTCTTATAGCCTTAGCGCATTGAACAAACCTGAGGTTTCTCTTGAAGTGTGGCCCAAACGTGGCAGCCTCCAGGATCACGTCAATGTGTGCTGTAGCACTGGAGATTCGGATGGCTAGAGCTGAGGGCGACTCATCGGCTGCGTCTGTCTGCGTGTCCGAGCAGCAGCCTCCTGCCCAGTACCCGCAGCAGTGCCGCAGCAGGATGTTGGTCACCCCTCGGATACGCTCACCCATGGCAAACAGCTCACCAGCATACTGGTAGATAAAGGGACACAATCTCTTTAGGCTGTGTTACACAATTCCTTGCTATTAAGGGCTGACTGAGCCCCCTTTCTAGGGCTTGTGGGTTGCTGCTGAGAGCCAAACACCTCTAACTCGAGAGAACCATTCCCAGAACTATCAATAGGAGCTCAGGATTCTCTGTCACTATGGAAACCAGTCATAAAAATCTGTCCAATAGGAGCTCAAGATTCTCTGTTACTATGGAAACCAGTCATGATTGACAGGTGTTCCCCTCACCTGTTTTTGCCTGAGGAAGACGGCAGATGTAGTAGGAGCCGCCATGAGCGCAGGGTGGAACGTGATGCCCACGAAACTGTACATGACGGGCCAGAAGTGATCGGTGTCCCTGTAGAAGTCCTGCACCAGTTTCCAGGCACAGTCCATCGCTGCCACACACATGGACTCTTCTCCCGCCTCGTGCACCTGTGACAGGCAGGTGAGATGTGCGACATCCGGTCAGTGTGGCCTGAAATATCATCTGTATGTGCAGGTCAGTGCAAGCAGAATTGGAGTTGTGCAGGTATAAATTTTCTGATGTCAACCTGTACCAAACCTGCGCCAGTCCATATACTGGGTGGCCGGTAGCATCTACTAAAAAAAATCCACCAGGCCGCATATGTCCACCACCCAGAAAAATGGGTCTAAAAAGATCTCCAAAATGACATCCCCCAGTACAAGTATAATGCACTCCTGCAATTATAAATTGGGCATACTAGTAGTACCTTTGGGGTGCTCTCTCAAAAACTCTGTTTTTCAAAGTGTTGGATTATGTTACCTGGCAGATAAATGTTAATGGAGGTAACATAAGTGTTTGTGAACTGATTGTTCATTAGCACCTTTGAAACGCCATGCAAAGTACTCAAATAGTTCATCACTAAAGGGCGAACGGAGTAAGAAACACAACCAAAGACCTACCGGTGGAATCAGCCTCTCCATAGTCCTCATGAGCTGTATGGCAGCCATGCCGGTGGCCACCTCGGTGTTGTCCATGGCTCGTGTGAGCAGCTCGGCAGGACTGCCCAGGGCGTGGCCGGCTCTGTTGCCAGGCAACCACAGCAGGAAGTCCACCACAGTCCACTGGCTCTCCACGTACAGGCACACCGCCCTGCCCCAGTCCTCCCGGCTCACATGCTCACTGGAATGAGAATGGTGCAAATGGCCCTTTGAGGCATGTACGATAAGGGTAAGTCCAGTTTTTCACAGTTTAAATCTAGCCTGTTTCAGAATGCAAAAAAGGTTGTTCATCATTTGACACAAATAGTCAGATCCTTCACCATTAGTATCTATGTAATACATGTATAACCAGCATGCCCCAAAACATGATGTCTTATGCAAGCTATACAATATACTTAGTAAATGGATGTAAACAGTTACTGTATAAACTGTTCTGTTTTCCATATCCTAGCAGACAGCAATGATTTTTTTTTTCTTGTTTCCCCTAACACCCAGACACCCCCCCAAAAGCAGGGGCAATGTACTAGGGTCAAGGAACAAACTGGATGCTAAAGGTTGTTGATGGTGCCAGCCCCCTGGCCCCCTTTTTCCAAGTTTACACACCTGTCAGCATCTGAAGGCTTCCCAAAGCCATCCTGAAGCCTGAGCACCCTGCCTGCCCCCACCAGTGTCTCCCCCAGCCCCCTGTAGGCAGCAGGACCAGTCTGGACAATCTCACACACACAGGACAGGCACTTCATGGCAGACAGGCAACACAGCTGCGACTGCACCACAGAAACCTGCCGGGAAAGGCAAACCACCAATGAGGGAAGTTTCTTACCAGTGATACCAGAAATCCTTTTTTCAGTAGAATGTCAAAAATTACTTTCTGTAAATACACACTTAAAAGTCTGGATCTAATCCCATGGCATACAAAATTCCATGTTTTACTACAATCCCAATTGTGAGCAGTGCAATTTCTCTTAATAAATTTGCTGTATCCTTGTTTAAGTCTTCCCTCCTACCTGATTATCCTGGGATTCAAGCGTGATGATGCTCTTTTCCACCAGTGTCTGGAGTGAGCCTAGCACCAGATTCGTAGCCTGATTACCACCAGGGTAGAAAGTGCTGAGCTGTTTGAGTAGCTGTGTGTACATGTTCACTCTGCCTATGTCAGCCATCTGGAACAATAGTAGTCAAATCCTTGTCGTAGGAATTTCTACAAAAGGCAATATGTTACCATATCTTGAAATTTCCTCTGTGTTGGTAGAAGTCATTATGAAGCAAGTTTGAACTGTACGGAAGCACGGAGGATTGCTCATTCCTTCATCATGTAGAAAAAGACTTGAGTTGTACAGTTGGAAAACTGGGTAAGTCCAAGTTCTTGTGTTGGAAAATTACAGTTCAAACTTGCTTCACAGTATATTGTTTCACATGGTAATTGGTAATACAGTGTTAGATTAAATCACTCTAAATGTAGCATTTAAATGATACCTAAACAACATTTTACTACTATACAGCAGTAGAGATTTGATTTTTCCAACTTACTTTGGTAATTTCTGCTGTGAGTTTCTGCACAAGAAATGCCAGTGTCTCCTCCAGACAGGACTGCAGTACCTGGCTCAGCTGCTGGGTGGTGTTCACACAACACCCTCTTGCCATCTCTGAAGTGCCATGTTCCTGTTAACATGAAAGAACAGTGTCCATATCTGTATCTGTATCTGTATAGCCGGTATAACCGCCTTTCAGCGTAACACACCAGCTTTGCAGGCACGTGGCGTGGCAGCAGCTGGCTATATTACACCGATCGACTTGTTACACCTACCCCTTAAACTTCTAGCTCTAGACATTGTTTAGAGCTATCTATTGACAATGCCCCTACTGTACTTGGTAACAGTGGATGAATTCTTGAACACCTCAATCCTTGGTTGATAACTCTGGTACTTGAAGGCATGGCTATTCATAAAACCTGATCATCTTGTGAACATGAAGTAGTTGGAAGTTAGCTTTCTAGTGTGTTCCTCACAGACACTACAAATTACTGCATACAAACAAACAACATACATTTGTACACAGAAGAAATGTAAGTAATCCTAACCTAGAGCTATTCTTGCATCTATTTGACAATCAAGAAATCAAATAAAATCACCTTAAATTAATAAGTTACAGATAAAATCCTTCCATATATAGAGGTGGTGCATGTCAATTCTATAGCCCCTGCTTTGGGGCACTAGCTAGTCCACTGATGATCCAAAGATGAATGATTAGGCAAAATTTTTGTCAATCATGAGCAGCAAAATAATGTCAAATGACGGAAAGACAGATGCTGACTAGAAAACTGCCCTAGAGATGCGTTACCTCCATGAGACAGGACAGGATATGGAGACACCTGTCGGCCTTGGCAGGTGGCAGGTACGGGTGGGTGCGGGCAGAGTTCATCACCTGCACCACGGGTGATAGCAGGGCCTCCAGGGACAGAACACCTGCAGGGCTGTCACTGCAACAGGTGGGAGATTAGTAGAACATTAAGTTTGAGGAGTAATCTATGATGTAAGTCTATGATGTGACTTTGGTAAGGCCACACCAATTTACTTAGTAGTGGCAAGATATTGGAGATTGTGGAACAAGGGTAATTTTAAAACCTGCCAAAAAACCAAAACTACGAGATATCAATTGAAATAATTTACTGTGTTTTAAAGATAAACCACCCACTCTTGCATGGCACTAGCTGTTGATCACTTCAAGTAGTACAAATGATTTAACAACATCCTTTCCATGTCCTACCTGTTAAGTGCTGTCTCTTGCTGTTCCTCAGTGTCCTGCAGCTGTCTGATCTTGTGCTGTCCATCCACGGCCAGCAACAGCAGCATGGCAATACTGTGAGCCTCGTTCCTGCCTGGTACGTCACTGCCACTAGCTACAGAGGGAGATCAAATACATTTTACACAACTTCAGGCTGCGGTACATCAGAATTTGCCTAGTCTTGATGGAGATCTGTTAGCATCAACCTCTAGTGGCATAAATTTCTGAAGAAGTGTGATTATAGACAGACACGAAAAATATTACACAATGTATGAGACAGCTTTTTTTTAAAAGAGAGATACTGAAATAGTTGAAAAAGCACAGAGGTATCACTTATGTCTTTGCAAACTGAAGAAGGTTGTGTCCTATCTCCAGTAAGCGTGATAAATTTCCAAAGAGCAACTTGGAGACACTGGGCCAGAAGTTTGAAGAATATTGAAGGGGACAAACTCTAATAATAGTATAAGGCAGTCTGGGAATGAGTATAGACAGTAGCACTGGAGTAATTTGAGAGTTTCAACCATTTACAGAAATGAGTTTCAACCATTTTAACCTTTTACAGAAATGATGTCAAATTTCACCACTGACCAGGCACACCGACTCACCTTCCTCAGGTGACACCTGGATGGCGGCATGCACACCTGCCTGTAGAAACCTGCTCAGGTGTGCGTCTGGGACAGGGTCACCTGTCTGTGTGGGGCCGAGGTCCTGGAGACAGCCGCCGTGTTCAGTCAACCACCTGCTCACCTGGAAAAAGGTCGTGCATGGTTTTCAGTACCACCAATTCCCTGGACTGTCAGGCAACTACAAGACTCTGGGAGCTCAGGGTTCAGATGTCAAAGCAGCTAAAATCAAGAGAATATATACTGATGCACTGGGCAGAAGAGAAGCAGATTCGGAAAAGAACTCTACAACAGACCTGAGTCAGCTTACAGATGCGCCCTATGTCATATGCCAGAAACTGTCATTCTAATATAGAACAGTTCAGCCATAACCAAAGCTGTAGGGCTGATATCAGTTTGAATTTTACCATGGTCAATATTGACTGAAGGAGGCCACATATACATGTACACATATATGTGAGTGAAAGGACTTCAACTCTGTAAAATTTTTAAAGAATTGTACTGAAAAATATCTAGTCCATTATAAGTCCATGTACTGACCTGTTCCCAGAGACCTGTCCCCCTGACCATACAGCCGTCCTCTCTCTCCAGACAGGCCAGTGTGCTAGCCAGTTGCTGCAGGCTCACCTTCTCCTGTAGGACCAGTCACAGTTATATTTCTTTCACACTGAATCTGCATCTGTAATGTACTCAGGGCCTAAAATACCACCTGCATATGCAGGTTAGTGCAGGTAAAATTGGAGCTGTGCAGGTGTTGCTGTTGTCTACCTGCACTAGTTGATGTAATTTCCAACACCGTAACTCCAGTCTTTGTCAAGGAATGAGCAATCCACTGCTTCTGTGGCGTCGCATTATGCAGATTGAACATGTAACTGAGGGAGCAGTGGACCATAAGTATCAGAAAGTGTTGGAAATTACAGTTCAAACCGGTTTCAGAATGACTTCTACATCCCAACAAAGATGAATTTTCCAAGCTAACATACTCACCACATCAGCCATGTTACAGATGGCCTGGGCAAAATGACACTGGATGGCGCCCCGCAGCGTGACGTTGTTGGTCATGACGTGCGTCATCACGACCTGACGTATCTGCGCCAGCGTGGCGTCCCCCCAGGCCGGGACGGGAGGGACAGACGCCAGGGCCTGGGTCACGTACAGCAGTGGGACAGCCCCGCACGGCTCGCGGGACAGCGCCGCGATCAGGTCCTGCATGAACTGGACTGGGGCGGCATGAAAACAAACAATGGTACATTGTAAAGGCTGTATTGCTTAAGACAATGTTTTATTCAAGCTAAGCCTCAAATATGAAATTTAAGCTTAAAAGCCTGTCAAATTCATTTTACTTCACAAATGCACAGATGCATTTAGCACAAAATAAATAGCAAATTTTACACTGATGATTTACATTGTGAAGGGTTCAGCTAAATGACAATAGCAGTCCTGAATACATCTGAACACACCAAATTTCCAGAAAATGGAGAATCATCATTGATACCAACATGAGCTTATCCATAGTCCTGCAGTTACTTTTCTATGTACATCAGTATGAAGCCATCACACTAAACCCAGAACTGACCTTTCTCTGCTGACCCAAGCATGTCCAGACACTTGGTTAGAAAAGGCAGGATAGCCTGACCAATCACAGGGCACGATCCAAGCTTCTCTCCTTCCAACCTGAGAAGACAAAAGTCCACAAGAACAAACCCCAATCATACCCTTTAACATCCATACTGTCTTGGTCTCAAGCAAGTTATATGTGGAGCCTCAAGACATATTTGAAAGTGAACACTGGTACCTGATAACTTCCTACAACATTATGGCAGTACTTATGAAACAGTGGTGCTTATTTTTCCAATTCTTGAATACCAGTGATTGATTTTCAATTTCTAATTGATGTGTGTGTTCGAACCTTATTAAGGACCTGAATGCAAACATAGCATCTTTGACTTCCTTGACTTCTTTACACATCTCAATCCCACTGAATGTCCATCCAGTATATTGATCAGTGAATGATCACCATTTTGCTTTCAATAAATGAAAAGTATGAAGGACAGTTTCCTTACCTGTTATAGAGGGAGGTGTCCTGTAGCAGTTTGCTCATGACAGGACCCAAGATGAACTACAAATGGATAGATAAAATGGACTAAATCAACAGCTTTTAATTTAAAAGGACAGGAACATTGCAAGGTCTTGCTCTACCACTACATCTCTTTATCTTTATTATTGGGCTCACTTTTACCCTAGGTAGCCTAGTAATACTTCCAGATCTGGACGGTAAAATACCTCTTAGCCAGCCTGAGGAGAACAGTACACTGGTAACAAGGCTAGTAGGAAGCTAGCCTCTACCAGGCTTCAGGAAGCAGTGGAAAAGAGTCTAAATTGGCCAAAAAGACACATAACATGCCAGGGTTTGCCAGAGTTGGTCCACTAAATAGTACAGTTTTCCGCTCTCAAAGTGTACTCCTTTAGCAAGCAACAAACTGTACTCCTTTAGCAACTCCCCTGGTATTCTATCTGTCTATTTGGCCAATTTGTACCTTACCAGGTGCTTCCCAAAGCCTGGTAGACGCTAGTAGTGAGCATCTGTCCTACTAGTACCTGTGTAAAGCCCATAGTGATGATGTGTGGAGAGGCAGCCAGGTCCAGCTGGAGAATGTCCAGTAAGGCCCAGCGGTGGATGTTCTTGTTGTCGTGAGTGAAGGCCTTCCTGTAGACTGTGTAGAGCCAGGAGGGGTGCAGCAAGAGGCAACCTGGGGGCAGTTTTTACAGTTAGAAGCATGACAAAACTAGAAAGTTTTACAAAATACAAAGTAGATCAAGCAACTGGATACATTTCGTGAGGAGTATTATAAAGATGTTTCAGATAGCATGGAAAATATAGGTCAGAATAGAATGGAATGGAATAGAATAGAATAGAATAGAATAGAATAGAATAGAATAGAATAGAATAGAATAGAATAGAATAGAATAGAATAGAATAGAATAGAATAGAATAGAATAGAATAGAACAAACCTGGGTCTGGTAGGACTGTTGCCATGGCAGTGATGAGGGTTTTCATCCGAGGCAGGACAGGCTTCACCACATGGACCTGTGATAGGAAGAGATACAGTGTACATTTGTGTGTACTCGGTACATTTTCATCTTCTGCATCTCCCACAAGGAAAAACAGAGAATTCTGAGGTCATTTTGGGAAAGTATGCTGTCTTTTCTTGTTTCTAAGTTGGAACATACCTGGTTCTCTTCCAGCGTTTCTATGATGAGGATGTAGTCTTGCCAGACTGGCATCAGCTGGGCTGAGTGAGCCGGACTCCACCAGAACAACAGGCCTGTATCTGGGGTTAGAAGGGCAGGCGTCATATTTTACCGAAAAATGACATTTTGAACACATGATATGCATGGGCAAGTCAATCAAACTACAGTATCTAAATTCTAAATATAGAATACAACACGGGGTATTCCGTATCGCCCGAGGTACCAGCCCGACCGCGCGTCGGATCGCCCGACGGCCGCAGGCCGGAGGGAGATCCGATCCGCGGGAGGGCTGGGACCGAGGGTGATGCGGAATACACCGTGTTGTATTTTATTTATGTCATACCCACCCAAGAAAACACGCCTTTTAATGCGAAATAGGCGAACATTTGGTGTCCCTAAATCCAAACAATGCAACAACATCAATTCCAACGTCCGAATTTTGTGTTCGAATTTTCGAAAGCGGTGCAAGCGGTTAGGGCGAAACGCGTTCGAATCGTTCTATGGAACATTTGGAAGGGCCGGGCCGTACGCGTTAAGAACCCCCGGGCCGTACCGCTAGTTATCACACGGGCCGGAACACCCGTATCGAACGTAATCGAGGCCCAGGTAGGACATAATGCAAAATATCAATCCTAGTCAGGTGAATCAATTTTTCAATATCTCAAAATTGAATTTTGCTACAATTTCTTGTCCAGAACAGGGTTTTGGGTGCAATAATCTAAAATCTTTGAAAGAACCAAACTTACATGTACTTTCCTACATTCAGAACTTCTATAAACATGACAGCAAGCACTCATGATAATGAGGGTAATGTTACAGGTGTCTCGTCTTACCTGCGTCAGCACAGGTGATGGTCCTGTCATGCCTACTGATGGTGTCTAGTGCCCTCTTCAGTAGGTACATGGCTCGCTTCCGAGTCACTGCGTTGGTGCCCGTCAACAGTCCCACCTGCAGCAGCGCCCAAAACTCTCCCTGGCTGCTGATGTCAAAACTGCAGGCCCCGCCGAAGAAGTGGTCAGCCAGGCCGCAGAGGAGGAGGAAGGCCTTCTCCACCGCATCCTGCCCTCCAGTCTTCAACCTCAGCAACAAGTCCCAGATTGCAGATATTCGCTCTTGGTACCTGTCGGCATTGGAGAGAAACTTTGGAAGAAGGATACCAACGACTCTGCTAGAAGTTCCCTCAGTGTAAAACCGACTGTGTTCTAGGGTGTCGAGCACCCTAGGAAAAAGCTGTGTCTCGAATTCGTGACGAGTGGACAGATTTGAAGCATGTTTGAGCAGGTAGTTCATCACCTCCACTGCAGTCTTCACGTCCAAGACATCCCTGTGGTCGCTGTCGTAGCCCAGCCTCTGCTCTTCGCAGTAAGTCCGCAAGGAGGCGTCGATGAGAAGGGCAACAGAATCCATCAGGTCCGTCGACTGCGACGACCCAGACAGTCGAAGGCATCCGATCAGCAGTTCGCAAGCCGCGTGGAGCCTCTGCGGTTCGGAGGAATCCTTCGTTTTGCCGACTCTCGACGTGTTCACGGCTTTCAACGAAGGTATGCAGATCGTGTTTATAACCTCCTCGCAAACCGGGAAGATCTGGTCGCGATTCTGGTGCTGGCACCCGGACGTCGCGTCTGCGGATTCCAACACGCTACACAGCGAATTCAGCGACTCTATGCGCTCATCTAGAGTACAAGACGGCTCCTTGACTAGATTCTGGATGAGCTGAACTGGTGAAACCGCTGATTCCCGCTGAAGCAGCTTCAGCAGTATGCCATCCATGGCCATGGCTGGACAGAAATAATTTTGCCCAAGCCGCGTGATAGATTCACACATGCATACTCCAGTCAAAGGTCACGAAATGTTGTGCTGTGCGACAGCGCTCCAAGCGGATGTGTTTAGAACCGCATTGAGAGATGGCAGCTGTCACAAACCTTACACCCAAGTTGTGTTTCGAATAGTTGATGTATAGATGATGATTGATGGTTTTTCGTTTACCTAACTAATTGCTGCTGAATTTTTGCTGAGTTAACGTTATATCTAACAATATCATCAGGACTTTTCTCAGTTAATTACTTTGTGATGAAAATGAAACAAAAAGTTAACTTCACTCCTTGCTAAAAACCATTATTCTACATGCAAATCTTCTTTGCAGAGAGGAAAGGAAACAACAAATGTCAACCACCTCAGACCAGCTCAGACAACTTGAGGAGGAAAGTTCTCTGTCTGTGAATGTCCGGAGACTGGTGTGTGAAGTGGGGCTGCAGGACGCTGGTGCTGATGCTGAAAATTCAGAGCGTTGGCATTTGTACATGACAGACGAGGGAACACTGCGATGGGATGCAGTTGAAAGAGTTCTCCATCAGTCGTCATCTCAGGGTACTTAGCATTGCCTTTATATTTCATAAATAATGGTCACAAGTCAGTTTTATACTCAAGCATTTCAAGTTTTGGGGGACTCAGTGAAGGAGGGGAAAGGAGGCATTGTACTGCAATTAAAACAACTGTAGTAACTGAGTACCTTTATGAGATATTTATGAACATTAAACCATGGGAAATAGTCCATGATTCACACAACAGTATTACATGCAACAGTATTTTAAGTCAGTATCAATGTGGACTTATAAAGAATCTAGTCCACTGTTAATTAAACATGACCATATTGCATTTAAAGACTGTGTCTAAGGAACCTAGAATAAGGAACCTACAGGAAATATAACAACAGTGTGTGTTACCCTCTATCTAAGGTTCCAGTGTGCCTGACTACCAGACTGCAGTGTCCAGACTTGGGCCTGTGTGCAGGGCCGTGCATGCCTACCTGTCACAGCTGTCACCTGCAGAGAGGAGGAGCAGGTACAGCCCTCATCTCACCTGGACAGGATATGGGCAGGTATATTTGAGAGACATGATAGCAATTGTCAACCCTATACTAGTGACCACTGGTTTGATGTGACCATCGTATTCAAGTCTTTCGAGTGGTCAATGTAGACAGGTTTGACTGCGATACTTAAATACTAAATGTTACATTTTTAATAGCTTTATATATAGCATCATTATCAAACAAAAATTATTTCTGTACTGCAAATACCTTGATTTCGGACCTCAGACATTAGAATTCTGGCTATGGAAACGTGTACAATCTAAGAGTTAGTAAACCTGTTATTACAATGCATTTTCCCAGGTGTTTGAAGAGTGTTTTGACCTTGTGTGGACATCAGACCAGACTGACCATACCTTGAGCCTGCTGCAGGCCACAGCAGCCCTGGAGCGAGCCTTGGGAGATGTAAGTACACATCTGGAATGGAATAAGTGTAAAGGATTACATGCTTTTTTGTCATTCAATGCAATATAGCCAACTGACTCTTTGACACGTGCCTGCAGAGCTGGTATGCTACACTAAATGGCAGTTATACTGGCCATACAGATACAGATTATTTCCCCAATGTATTCTAGATCTGGTTTGGCAACAGTGGTGAGAAGACAAGCTGTACTGTAAAAGTAGTCCATTTTGTATGTGATGAAAAGTTCTTAAACAATAGCTTAGGAATCATTTCCTAGAATTCACACTGCAGGATTAAAGCTCAATAAAACATTTAGAATTGATGCACCAGATATGAGAGAGGCAGATTTTGAACATACATTGTAACAGTCCCCTACAGCTGGATGTCTGCCCATACGCAGGTGTTCCTGATGCATGGCACCCAGTGCCCCTCACTGCTGAAAGATCTTCTAGCTACCAGGGAGCTGACAGAGATCTTCGGGTGCACAGCTGTAAGTCTCTCCAACCTTTCTGTATTGTCTCTTTTCTGCAACTTAACATACCAGTAAATTTTTATATGGGACTTAATAATGTTGTCCATATGCAAAAAAAATGGATTCATTGGTTCATGGGTTTCTAAGGGTTGAACGGTCCAGTGGTAACTGTTCTGAGTGTCATTCAGCACCAGGGACAGGAACACCAGTCTTGTTGATGTGTAATTCAGCATCAGGGACAGGGATACCAATGTTGTTTATTTGTAATTCAGCACCAGGGATAGGGATACCAGTCTTGTTGGTGTGTCATTCAGCACCATGGACAGGGATACCAGTCTTGCTGGTGTGTTATTTAGCACCATGGACAGGGATACCAGTCTTGCTGGTGTGTTATTTAGCACCATGGACAGGGATACCAGTCTTGCTGGTGTGTTATTTAGCACCAGGGACAGGGACACCAGTCTTGCTGGTGTGTCATTCAGCACCAGGGACAGGGACACCAGTCTTGTTGGTGTGTTATTTAGCACCAGGGACAGGGATACCAGTCTTGTTGATGTGTAATTCAGTACCAGGGACAGGGATACCAATCTTGTTTATGTGTAATTCAGCACCAGGGACAGGGACACCAGTCTTGCTGGTGTGTCATTCAGCACCAGGGACAGGGACACCAGTCTTGCTGGTGTGTTATTTAGCACCAGGGACAAATAAGATTCAATGTTGTTTTGTGTTGTTGTGTGTTTTTAGATGTCCTGTCTGCATGTCCTGATTGGTCCTCCCTCCAGTCTAAACCTCAGGAACATTGCCTGGCACGGTTTCCTCAGTCCTGGAGAGGTGCCAGATATGTGAGTAAGCTGTGCAACACTGAATAGTGAACTTTCATATCTTATGAATATCATGATTTAACATGCCAGCTAGTATGAAGATACCAGTAAATGGTCAGCCTGCATGAATGCCATCCTTCACGCCCTTCCAAAACTGTTATACAGTCAAACCTGTACAAGTTACACAACATAAGGACCACTTTTTGGTGGTCCCTTAGATAATTTTCTTCATTGATACAAACATTAAGAATCCTATCTATAGTGACTACCTGTCCACATAGACCAGATTTTATCAGTCTGCTGAGTGGTCCTTTTGGCACAATTTTGACTGTGGTTAATATTTTATTCAGTTATCACTAGTATGCTGTAACTAAATATTTTTTTCCTTTTACAAGGTATGTCAGTTTCCTGTTGGTTGTGGTGGCAACATTAGGAGAGCAGACTCCCTTTCTGTACGAGGTCTCACACCGCACCCCACTAGATCTCTCACCGCAGTTGGAGCAACTGCAGCAAGTCTTTCCAGGTGTTGTTGTCATCTTATTTTGAGTTCTTTGGCTGTAGTGCTATATTTTTTTTAAGATTATGTAGATTAAAACTGGATAAAAGTATCAAATATATTTCAAACATGAACTATCTCATGGTTTATGATGCAATGCAAGGAGGAAATTTTGGGCGCTTTCCTTTACTTTTGAAATACTGTTACAATGTACATGTATATAACTCTCATGTTGGGGAGTTGGAGTCAAATGTTGTTGATTTGCCAATGTTTTACATATACTGTGGATGAATCCAAGCCTTCAGTCACCATAATTGTTCTGAATATCCACAGATCCACACATCAAAGGACTCATGGCTTTCTGTAGGTTCTGACTTTTTTTTCTTCATTAGTTTTATGGTGGAGACAAACCAAAAATTGTAACCTTGTTTCCTGACACAGTCCTACAGGTGGCAGATGTGCCTGGCCTGAGGGACGTCATCCACAGAACTGCATTCATCCAGCCCTCCATGATGCCTTATTGGGAGAAAGCTTTGGAGAAATTCTCAGATCAAAGGTAGTTCAAAAATTGTAAAATATACAGTTACAATGATATCTTTTGCTAGATTTAATACATGTGTAAAGGAATTATTTTAAACTAACTGTGCAATGACTTGCTATTAAGGAAATCCTTTACTGACATGTACAACTGTAATTACACCTTCAATATTTCTTATTCAACACCATATCACTAACATGGTTTTCACAAAATGCATCACAAAATCACAAAATCAAAATAACATAAAATAAAATGTGTAATTCTGACCAGTGTGTTATGCCAAGGTGGGTCATAGTGGCTATACAGATACAGAATTATGTGCTTACCATTGTTACAAATAAAAGAATGTACTGTATATTTTAACCATGCCTGTCAATAATAGTTGCTTATCAGTACTTTACCACATGACCCTTGTTCAGCTATGGTCACTGCCTGCTGCTGCTGCTGCCACAGTTAGAACACGGGCTGAGGAGAGTCTTTGCTGTAGTCAACAACTGTCCACAAAGGATGCTGACTGCTGAGGTAAACAACAAGCAAACTGCTGCAAGTCCAAATTATTTGCAAGCCCAGGGGATAGGAAACTGGCTATTGCATTAACAGTCTGATAGTAGCCAGCTGTGTTGTTTTTAAGAGTTTGTACTTTTAATAGACTGTTGTACATCTAGAATAATGGTATGGTTGTTCTCACTATTCCCTTTATCCCAGCCATTCTCAGTCACTATCCAGTTTAGCGTCTTTCGAGGGTTAGACATGCTTGCACACTTGGGCCACATTTTGTATTGAATCCTAAGACATGAAAGAGAAAAATGAAAATTGGCACATCACCTTACCTACATGTTCTTTATTTGTTTTGCAGTCTTCAGTCCTTTACACCACATTTGATGAGGTGAGTGTCACCTGTCCATGTAAGCTCTATGAGCATTATGGTTCAGTATTGAGTTTCCAGTACTACCGGTAGTAGTGAGCTGAATTGGTTTCAGGTCACTTATGATTTACTTTTTACTGTTTTTGCCCCAAACCACCAGATCCTGTCGGCTACCTTGCAGGATGGCAGCACCAACCTCATGTCATCAGAACTGGGAGACTCCTACATGGTGAGTATACTGTGTATCTGTTCTGATCAACTGACTATAGAGAACAAATGTACTCTAATGTCTGGACATTCAGCTCTTAGGTCAATGAATGTACCATTGTACTTTCATCACCATTTCATCTTCTGGTATCCTTGTTAAATTAATACCTTAAGACAATATGTTCCTCTATCATCAAATGAAGATAGGGCTACATTTTACCTAGTAGAAACTTTTCACTTTTTCCACCCAAGAAGTAAAATGAGTACCTGACTTTGGTTGTGGAGGTAAAAGGCAGTGGAAGGAAAGCTCTGCCCTGCCATCCAATACTGTGCCTTACACACAGTGGACTGCCTCAAAAAGGCCACAGGACTACTAGTACCTTTACCTGCCTTTATCACACCTTTTTCAGGAGCTTCTGCTGGACCTCTTGGTGCATCCGGAGGGCCCCCGTGTACGAGACCACGCCAGCCATGGGGAGCTGGACCTGGCAACCATTCCTGCTGGCCTGGCAAACCACGTCCTGTGTGTCAGTCTGGCCTTCTGCATTAAATATGCTTCAACCGACAGATCTATGCTGGTAACTTGAAATTTGTCTTTTAGCTGTCGGTAAGGCTAGTATAACTGCCTTTCAGTGTAACATGCTTACTTTGACATAAGTAGTATTTGGGAGGTTGTTCAAAGCGATAGGTGCATGTCATAAATTTAATTGTATTGTATGACTGATCATTATCTTAAGATACAATTTTTCTTCATTAAAAAATTGCTCTTGCTTCCAAGAATGAGTTCAAAAGGACTTCCTTTTGTTGCTACATTTCTTGCAATTCTCAATCAGGAAAATAAAAGATGCTGAGGACTTAACCAGCATACTCCTCATTGTGCTAAAAGTACATCTTCTCTTTACTATCTAACAGTCACAACCATCTGCCCATGTGGAACAAGTGGTTCAGGGGTACATGTCTTTGTTTCATCCTACAGCCCTGCTTGTCCAAAGGGTGAGAAAACTTACAATTATGAACACTTTCATACAGGTTGGACTGCAACAGACAATTATTTCTGTATTTCATTCATTTGTTCACGTCTCCACACAGTTGACAAATTTCTTTCTGCACCTTTTCCAGGTGTACTCCTGTTTGGAATCCATGAGTACATGGCTCCAAGTTCCCAGGCCCACTGAAGAAGAGTTGTAAGGCTCCTTTACTTTCATTTATTGTTCAACTTTGCAATGGGACATTTATGTATGTTCATAACCCACATGGAAGTATGCAATCTTTCTCTTCTTGTATTCACTCTATATTGCAGAAAATTATAATGATAAGAGTGTTCTATGATTCCCTACAGAAAAGGAAACCACACCAAGCCTACCGAGGAAGTTGCAAACAGCCCAGCTACCCTAAAGGCTGTGTCTGTAGTAAATATGGCCCTGCACAAAGTTCTGCCCTCACACAGCCCTGACTCCATCCTGGCAGACCTCAGGTGGGAACTGTGTAGTTTTCTACATCTTCTATAGTGTGATGTTACTATTGTTAGCAGAAGTGTGATAGGAAGAACATAGGGAAATTAGGTTGGGGGTGTTTGATGTTCAATGTCCACACCATCGAAAAAGGTAGCAGTGTTAATCTTGTTTTCATTCTGTTAATTGAATTAACCAATCCAGTCTGCTAAGGTAGCCATTTGGCACCTTATCGGCTATGTACTTAGGCATCAAATATCCTTGATAAAAATAAGTATATTGTACATGTACACTGTATATAAACAGGTGATTGTTGAACTATTCTACCCAAGTGTTCCAGACTCCTGGCAGGTTTATGAGACAGCCGTGCACATATGTCTGCACGAGCCCGTGAAGACGGTGTACCGGCCCCGTGTCGAGCTGGAGCTGGTGTCCCTCCTGAGACACATCACGGAGAACAGCCGCATAGCATCACAGAACATCCAGGGAACAGCTGAGCAGAGGTGCGAGCTGTGGAGGAACAGGCAACTCAGGTCCAGACAGAGGGACAACTACTGCAGGATGCTGGACCGGTCAGGCAGTCTTCTTCTTCTTCTCAAGTCACCACTTCAGTCTGCTATGCTCTCCTGCTCCACCAGTACTCTGCACATGTTCTTCCTCTGGGGGTCAGAGCCAAAAGGTCCTCACTGATTCAAGGTTCAGGCAGGAGGGAGCAGACAAGCAGGTGTCTCGTGGTCTGCTCCTGCCCACAATGACATGCCGTTTGTCCATCTGGGCTGAGACCCCACACTTTTCATGAGGGTCTTGCATCTTCCTGTTGCAGTTCTGAGGTGGTTCAGACATGCCCCAAGTTGGCTATGTCAGGCCAAGGAGGTTTAAAATCAAATTGGTCAGGCAGTGAGACATGTGTAGATTGCCTTTCCTGATACATGTAGTACAATACATGTGCATTTGTTATGCTTATACATGTATATATAACTGACAAAAAAGCCATACGTATACAGTGTAGCACTGTAGTAGAATGAGGTAGGCCATGTCTAGTCCTCATCAAGGGGTCAGAACACATTATACTCCTGTCATGCTCATACTTTAAGATGTCTGTTGTCTCTTGTTTCAGCCTTCAGACTATCTTTAATGGTCTTCAGTTGGTTGTCATGGTTACAGTCCATCACCTTCTGACACTAGGAGACCTGTTGCAACTCGAGTCATCTCAAAAACAGAAACAGAAAAAGTAAGATTCGTTCTGCTGTACATTGCCTCAGCACAGAAATTATCTTAAGAGGAGTCATACATGTATTGTGCTCATCTCCCAACATGGTGAATTATGGTGATAACTTTTCATTGTTTTTTCTTCATCCCCCTACTGGTAGTCTAAAGTCTCTCCTTTATGAGTTTTGAATGGTAAAATACCACCTTAATTCATTTCTAGTTACTAAGTACCATGACTTATTGTGGCACCCAGACACTTAACCCTGTGAATGTTCCTTTGCAGGTTTCTAAAGAGTATTCTGCAGTATGTGGAGAACCTCGTGTCCAAAACCAGCACAGATCAAAACAAGTGGGACGAATGTTGCTCCCTCACATTAGCCGCAATCCATAGGATAACAGAGTACTATAATAGTGACAATATCTTAACATAGTGCTTCAAGTAACTAGATGGCTTGTATCTTTTAAATTTAATGCATATATTTGTATATACTACCAGTTTTCCAAGATGAGAAATAATAAGAGCATGTACAATTATACATTATCTAAAAGCTATCTTTATTCATCACTGTTGTGATCATCCATCAATTAAATACATCAATGTTGTAACAATGAACGTACTATGCAATCTAGGTAACTAGCACTTTGGCATCACCATGCCAAATTGCCAATAAACATTGAATTTTATGCATCTGCTATGAGTGTGTGGGTTAGGTACGTTACCAAAAGGTCTACAGATGAAATCCCTCTGGTTGTGTCACAAAGAACCCAGTACATGCTGAATTTTGTGTTCTGTTAAATTTCACTTGTCAGCCAAGTACACATGATCATGACATCATTGTTCACATAACACATTTACATAAAACGATGTCAACACCGACCCCCAGACAATTCAGCATTTGGTCCATATTGCAAGACAATATGTCCCCATCTGTCTCTGCTTGTAACAACAGTCATGTTAGATAGTTGTAGTTAGTACTCTAGCCTGGGTGCCAGACCCATAGCACACAAAGTATCTCAGTGAGCTCACTGAGATACTTTGTGTCCAGTGTGCTATGGGTCTCGCACCCAGGATATTTAGTACTCATGTGTTTATCATCAAAGTCTCCCTGAATGTACATTAACTAACCAGGTTAGTTAGGTATCATGTTTTGCACCAGATAAATTGAATGGGAGGACAGCAACTTCCTTATTACCAACCCATCCAACTGAACAGTGTTATGTTCTTAACTTGCCAATCAATGACAGAGATCTTGAACTGCCTTTTGAGATTCTTTTATCCAGAAGGGTTAAAGCATCTCAAAATGAAAAGTCAAATAAAATCTGACAAGCAGTCTCCAATCCTATGACTTGAACTCCCCGACGTAGTGTGTGTTCTTGAGTTTGTCCTTGATGTAGTTCCCGACTGTGAAGTGCGCTGGCTGGGAGTGGAACCCGCTCGTCGCATCTCCTCCAACGTTCCGCAAAATGGCGTTCCCACCCGGGTGTTTGGAAACATAGTTTGTCATGTCATACACCTGCAAAACACAATGAATATAGACACTAGAAATGATCAGCAAAAAAGTAACCTGCTTCATCAATGAGCACAATGACAAGCCTGCAATCCCAGAAGGCAGCATTTTAGTTCATATAACGTTACATAAAATTTGCGTTGTTACAAAAGCAGATGTTTGTTCCATATTGCAGGATAAAACTTTTGATGCGTAATGAGACCTTGTCTCATACAGGGTTACATTATTATTATTACGTATCTGAATTCCCCAGTTGAACGTCCTTGCATATACCCATCTGCATTTCAATAGCCAAAACCCCTGCGTGAGACATAAGCTTTGCTCACTTCCTTGAAAAAAGGTGACCTCGGGCAAGATCACATGAGTCTGGGAAATGTCAGCTGCAAATTGCTGTCCTGGTTTCCACACAAATTATGTTACATAAAACCACAGAACAGAACAGCTTTATGAGTTACAGATTATAATGTTTTAACATTCACGAAATATCCTATGTTTCACAGTTGGATTGTCTAATAAACAGGTCAATGACCTTTTTCCAGCTCTTGAATAATTTATAGCAATGAAGATCTTAATCCTACCAAGTTGATCCTACTGGGCCCATTATATTACCTTTCCATCAATGATGATCCATGCATCTTCTTTCTTGTTGTGCCTCGCCACCTCTTCTTTTGATATCAAACGTCCCTCCTCCCTACTCTTTTCATCTGTAGCCATGGCCTTTTTTCCTATCAGCTATCACTCAACACTTCCACTCTACAGGCAGCTGTTTTATCTCAACCAGTGGATGCTGCCTCCTCCATCTGATCTCATGATGACACCTCCAAAACAAACCTTCAGATCTCGCGAGATTTACTGCCCTTCGCGAGATTTTGTAACTCCCCCTGAGGGTAGACTAGTTCATTTTTATAAGGGGGGAGTGTAGAAATATGACACATATAAATACTGCGTTTTCGGCATTGCATGCAAAGTTTAGACTGTAATACAACCTTATCAAATAGATTGTAGTAAAATGTTGTGAACAAAAGTTATTTTTGTGTTTTTTAGAGAATATAAATATACCTATGCACACCTTTGTTCCCTAGATTATAATGAAGCGTTCCGATTTTGACGGGACTTGTGGGTAGTAATCATGGCCGAACCTATGTGGCAGGAGAACGAAAGTCAACATCAGCTAAAAAGTGGACCGTTTCTTACCAACAGTAAGTTTTCGTGCGCACATTTTGTATCAGAACAAGTCTTTGTACACTATAGAACACACGGACCAGCAGGTAGTACCAGGAAAATCGCATAAAAGGTAGAGCTACCATAAATGTTCAGCAAAGTTCGATATGATGACACAAGAGTTCCGGTCCAGAGGCCAGTCTGTTCGGTCACGAGTGTGCTACGATCGTCGACTCAAGAGCCGGTCTTTCAGTCTCGCTTGCGTAGTTCCAGGCAAATGTTCTGCAGACGAAGGAATTACAATATTCCTAGACCGTGTGCTAGTATCTAAGCTAGAGCAGTCGTGCCATATCACAGCTGCAATGCAAGACAACCAAATTTATGTACATGTAATTACTGCAAAGTGACCAGGTGGGCGTATCAAAAGAAGTGTCAACATTTAGTCGTATCGTTTCTACACATTTTTCAGGACGACCTTGTTTATCTAAGTTAGGTTCCGGGAGCTGCTTTGAACGAGAACCAGAATCCTTCAACATTGTTGGATTTAAAAATAGACATACCAAATAAATATTGTTTTTCAGTTGTACGTAATTTGATATCAATAATGGCCATGTTAAAAGCAAACAGAGGTTTGAGAAGGATGTTTGTCTTGTATGCTATGTGGAAATGATTTGCTTGATATTTGGTGTGCCTCGGATAACAAAACTTGCCTTTGCAGAATGACCACCTGTTACTCTAGGCTTTCATGGCTGTATTCATAAATTTCTGAAACATCTCTCGCTAACAACTGTGGCACAGTACTAAATTAGATACATCATACTTACTCTGGTTGCCATGTGTTGTCCCAAAGATCATTGTTTTTTTACAATTTTATATGCAATGATATAAGCAAACATGCAAAATTCCCCTAAAGTATAATGGTTTAGCACCATAGCCATTGTTGCTAAATTGTGTATAATTTATATTACAACCAGTATTGGTTATTTTAAAAATGACATTTATGTACTATTTTACACTTACACTATATTCTATATTGCACCAAATATCATGAGACATTGCTCTAAACAAGTATTGTACGAAAGGGAAATGAACGGCATGGTGGCTTGTCATTCAACGGCCCCCATATGGTAATCTGTGCCATAGATAATATCAACTTGTATTTTTTAATCATACAGATCTCAGGCACTACATCCACAACTAAGTTCAAATCTATAGGCAGGTCTTTTGAGATCAATTTTGAACCACAGGGCATTACAAGCATCAGCCAGTTTGCAAACCTTAACATGCTGTAGCCCGTCCTTTATTTAAGATACAGGCTATCCAAGATAGACTGTAAACCTATCCTTTGTTGTACTGAACTGTAAGTACATGATGGTAGCAAAGAGATGGACCCATGATGTGATAGTGTGATATTACATTCATTAGAGACCACAGTGATTACGTTGATCCCAGGAGGAACATTACATACATTTACTGATTGGAAGTACATGACAACTACATGACGTACATCTTTTCTTTCTGTCCTCTAGGTCACATTGAAATGTAACGATTACTGACAAGAGGCAGACAGAATATTCCAGAGTGTAGAACAGAGTCACACATATCGGTAGCACCAAAAGCAAGAAACAGAAAATGGCTTCTGGCAACTTTGCTCCCATGCTGTCTTCCTCACCACCCCCATTTGAGGAAGGCCCGTCCATGACAGATGATTTCGATGATGACGACTTTGGGAACTTTTCAAGTGCGGCAGACTCGTTCTCTCCGGGGCAGGACGACTCCTTCACATTCCAACCCGTCAAGGATGGCATCAAGGATGGCCTGGAAAATGGAGGATGGGCTGCCTTTGAGAGCCATAAGTCGGACGCATTTCCTGTTCAGAACGGTCCGATCTCTGCCAAGGACTCGACTGCTAACGGATTAGAAGCTCAGGGGGGTGATTCAAAGCCTGAGGGATGGGGCATGGGAACAGGTGCAATGGCGGGAAGTGCTGTGCAGAGCACTTCGGATGATGACTTTGGTGATTTTAGCAGTGTACCTTCTTCAGAAGTAAGGACAGGACAAGAAAATGCTTCCCTACAGGATGAAACTGTAGTGACTAATGGAAGTCCAAGTGAAGAAAACTCAGCATCAGCAGAGTATGGAGATTTCTCAGGATCGCAGGAAACCAAAAATTCTCTCACTGGAGACGACTGCACGTGTGATGAAGGGGCATCAAATGCTGCAAAAGAGAATTCAAGCCATGAACGTACAGACTCACCAACAGTAGAGGAAGCAAAGAATGTTAGACAATCTCTGTCAGATCGTGTTACAAATGCCACAAGCGGTTCAGAACACACAAGTGAGGAAAAAAGTCAGGTTAAGTCAGCTGGTGCCTTTACTACACACAGTCCAGGTGATTCTGATAGCAGGTCTGCAGAAGCTGAAGTTGGGAGGGGGGCAGTGTGGGAATTCAGGCGGAAATGTCAGTACCAACTGTAGCTATAGAACAGCATGAAGGTGAACTCAAGTACACTAACTCCCATGCTGAACAAACTGTAACTTGCCCTGAAGGAGATAAACTAGAAGACTTAACGGGAAGTGCATTAGACGAGGCAGATACAGATGAATTTGGAGACTTTTCCAAACCCTCATTCGGGAAACCATTAGATGTTATAAATGAGGAACTACCCTCTGAAAAGGAGGACAATGATGATGGCTGGGCTAATTTCAGAGGCCCTACCGGAGAGTTTGGTAGTTTCTCTGACTTCAGTCTGGTAGGTAAAAGACCAGATGATGCAAACGTAGACCTGTACAGTAATGCCAGTGACTGGGGTTCCGCCAGCGATTATTCCAGACAAGACGACGAATTCAGTGACTTTGCCTCAACTCAGGAAACGCCCCAAGATGAAAGTTTACCCATAGATGCCCTCTCTGACGAAGCCTGTCCACCCGGTGACAAAAGCACCAGACAGGATGGAGAATTTGTTGAATCTGATGCTTTGGCAACACAGGTAGAAGATTTACAAAGTAAACCTTCCGGTGACAATGACGTAACTTCCCAAGACACCAGCATTGTTGGGAAAAGTGCAGACAACAGCGATAAACCAGCGTGTGGTGATGATGATGGAGAGGATGACTTTGGTGACTTCACATCTCCTGATCAGCCAACCTCTACTGATACACCTGCACAAGACGTTCCTGTTCCTGTTGGAAAGTCAGAAGATGACAGAACTGATGACTTTGGTGAGTTTTCGGCACCAGGGCCAAAAGCAGACGACAGTGAGTTTGGTGAGTTCAGCACTGGTGACGGTAAGGATGACTGGGCCTCTTTCTCTGGACCGTCAGACTTTGGGGAGTTCTCCCAAGGCCAGGAGAAGTCTGCTGAGGAAGAGGACACGTTTGGTTCCTTTGCCTCCACTTCAGGACCGGAGTTCGGAGACTTTGGTGGCTTCCAGCAAACCAGCTCTTCAACCAGTACTTCTAAGGTAGTTACTTTATATAAGAATTAGGTAATATTACTAATAAATATAGTTTTGTTACAAGTTTGTCTAATAGAATACCTTGGAAGAAAAAATTACTTCTTTTTCAATGCAGGTAATTGAATAATACTGGACAGTATTTATTTGTATCACTATTTACATGAATGTCAATGCTTGTTATCTACTGTTAAAAATTTTAGGGAGAACCCCTCCATAGAATAACAACATTACAACCAATTATCATGATTAGAACAAAGGTAGACTAAACTGATTAAACCTTCGTAAACAAGTAGAAATTGTATCTTGTTGTTCCCCAGACTGGCCAGGCAGGTGATGCGTTCCTGAACTGTTTCCCTGTGAAGCAGCTGGGGTCATCAGACATACTACTGGAGCTGCTACTGGACATCATCACTCAACAGTCAGCACCAGGGGAACCTGACAGCAAGGACGAGGACAACAAGTAAGCATGGGACATGGGAGTTTGCTCGGATAACAGCAAATGACATTATGAAGATTTAAAATGTTATATCCATATGTATGAACAAGTTACAAGACTGAAGTGCTTAGTAACAGTTTTTGGTCAGTCCACTGACACTTCTCAAGATGGGATTTTGTTCCAAAGTGAAGCACACATTTGTGTCTTTAATATGCAGTCTTTTTGGTATGACGCCAAATATTATGCTTAGTTTGCAGTAGATAAATGTAGTCACATTTGTGTTAATTTTTCCTTTCTGTACTTGGCTAAATGTAAATTATGGTACTAGACAGAGAAAGTACCTTTTGTTTCTTAAAATCATGTTGTAGCCGTAAATTGCCCAATGTGTATGCTTTCTTTTATATTGTACATAAGACATGATGCATTTTGACTAACATTGATTTTTAATGCTGCAGGACTACCCCACTGCATCTATGGGATAGTCTGAAGGACATAGACAGCACCCATGCCCTCAGCTTCACATGGACACAGTCACAGGAGCGGGAGAGACTACTCTGCTCTTTGGGGGTGGACACACGCAACATTGTAAGTCCATTGTGTAGATTTTAATGTACTGTTGTGTTCAGACACAGGAATGAAAGACACTTAGATATATCAATATATCTTAGATATACTTAGATATACACTTACAATACACTTAGATATACTTTTCGGTATATTTATTTAGTTTCCACATTGACAAGACATCTTCAGAAGAGTCATTGTCAAACTTTGTTTACACACATTCTCAAAGAAATATTATCACCATGTTTTTTCATTGTACCGGTACTCATTGTTTGTTTTGTTGCACTCAGTGCATGGTTCATGTAATTGCATGCTAGATGTTTATGATAGGTCTAGCCTTCCTAACTCAATAATGTACTATGAAAGTGCTTATAAAAGTAGTTGGTATATGCAGCTAGTATTAGTATGGTATTGTGAATTGATGTACCAAACCATATGAATAACATATAACCTTATGCATTCTATGGCATGATTTTATGTGTCATCATCTTGTATATTACACAACAGGGCTTGAAACATAATTTTTATCCAACCTTCAACAATAAATATAGTTTTGTTATAGGCGACAGAATATTCAAAAATGTTGAAGGTGGTCACCTCAACCGAAAGAAGAAGAACAAAGTTTTGCTTTTTTAAGGCCATTCTGCTGAAAATACCTTTTTTTCATACCCAAAAATACCATTTTTCCCCTCCACTGAACTTTATCATATTCAGATTGTTAGTTTCAAGCCCTGCTATAGGTGAAGACTTAGCAAACAGGGTAGGACTAACCTGTATCCGTTATAACTGAGTGTGTGCCTGTGCCGTGCATGCCTGTAGCTTGTGCATGATGTAATGTGCTATGTTCTCCACAGTTGTTGCCTGGAAAGAAGGCTTTACCAGCCTACGCTGCCAGCTTGGTAAGTCCTAACTACTAGTACATGTAACCATCAAACTGTAGACGTTTAACCTGTCTGTCCATCATACAACCATTTCTTGTTTTGTTTGTTTGTTTGTTTCATCTTAGCCAACATCACAATATCCGGAATAGTCAAGAAACTTCCTTAATATTGAAATTGAAATACCCATTGCTGATAACCATTCTAAGTCATGAGCTGCCAAAGGTTTGCTTTGGTTAGAGGAAATTGTCTGTGGGAAATTGTCAGTGGTCCATCATATTTTGTATGTGTTCTTTCAGTTAATTCACCACTAAACTTTTGGAGTTTCCACTTAGTCAAGCTATCCGTTTGTCCCTGAAAATGAGCTGGCTTTATTGGCCATTACAGTCCAAGACATGCTTCCCATTTGCTACATGTTACCGAGCATTTCAACATTTATCTTCATTAACCCCAGGGTCTGGATTGATGTTCGTGTCAGTATAACTCATCGATTTTGCCCTGACCAATGGCAAAAGTTGGCAGATACAGATTGAATAGTGAAGATCCTTTTCAAGGCACGATGTAGGCAGTGTCAGAAGGATTCAGAATGATATGAGGGAACCGGCATTGTCAGCTGGGAGTAAGCCAGCTCAAGTATTGAAAAATGGCCACATCTTATGCTGTTTATAGCCTTTGCTGATGTTCAATATCTTCAGGGTCAGATGTCGGAATTACTCAAAACTGGATTCATCTTGTTATCAAAAGATTGAGGACCATTGAATACATTTCAGATTTTGATACGTGACACAGAAAGCCGTTGCCAGATCTCCAATTCTTATTGAATGCTGGAGGATTAACCCTCATCTAGTGAATTTGCTGAAGACATAACTACCAGTATTGGCTTCAATGCACTAAATGTAATTCTTGGCTGCCAACAAGATCTAGAGTTAGCCATTCAGGGCACCTAGCCGTGGTGCTGAGTAAAGTTTCATGCGGTGAGATATCACTTGACAGTCCCCTGTCTCCTGCTCCAATCCATTCTAATCAACTAATGGCATTTGGCCATTTATGGTATCGATTGCCGCTTCAAGTGCAGACATGTTAATTTCCCCCAGCCCCTCGGATTGAGACCCCGGAGCACTTTGTACAGATTGTAGCCCTGCCCCGCATTCATCACCAGAGGAAGTTTCATTTCCCCCCAGTAGACATGTGTAGGGACTGTTTATCTGTACCTGACAGTAGCACGCTGGTGTGGTAGGAGGGGTGCTGCTATCTACCAAAATTCTACAAGGAGTAGATGCTGCAGTTTTATCCAGGTGTAATTTTATGGACACTTGTTGTAATTTTGCCTGTTGAATGGTCAGTGTAGTGTTTTTGTTTAGTAATGTTTCTTATGTTCTTATGTCAGAAAATGATATGTGTAGATCTACTACATACTTTTGTACAGGCTTCTTCTAGCACATTTCTAATATTTATATGATAATATATACTGTTTTATTACATGTAAAGTAGTGAGTCAAGAAGGTAACTACCATCCATTATTTATAGCTGAATAGCAAAGTAGTAGTTTTAGATAGTTGTACTATTGGATATGGCAAATAATGAAACTTGAAAGATTTTTTTAGAATGTGTGTTCTTTGCCAGTTTAGTTTTAAGTTGTTGCTGTGCAGTACCAATGTAGTTATTGATGCCTATCAGCAAAAAGCCCCAACATGCTCATAATTGTGGCACTGTAAGATAGTCGGAAATATGCTCCATAAGCATTAGGTTATGTATGTTGATTTGTATGAGTCATAAGCTAAGCTTCTATAATCTCATACCATTATAACACAGAGTGCCACCTACTGACTTTTGTCAGGACTGCACCCTTAGATTATACTAGTAGCCTGTGCTTGTGATAACAGGTGTATAATATTCTCTTGCCATGACAGGGAATGCTGGAGCCAACCAAAGGCCCCCTGCAGCCAGTGTCTGCTGCTGAGAAGATCACCTCTCTCACAGTGGACGAACCAGTTCAGCTCAAGGACAATAGCAAGGTGGGATGGGCAGATTGGTTTCATGATGTTTCACCCTCCATTTTAGTGATGGATTATTAAGGCTTCATCTTTCACAATAGTCATAGCTTAAAGACTGAATCCATTGATGTTGTGACATGAGAAATAAAAGTGACTGCCGACAATAAAAATTGCAAAATACTGCATTAGGATGAGTAATTTATAAGTACATAGAAGTATTTAACATAAGCATAATAGATCATTATTTATAACAAAATGTAAATATTTCACAAGCATTGGCAAAATGGACTGCAGGAAATCATGATCAGATGAGCTGCAAGAGATCATTAACTCACATGCTCAATCTAAAAAGAAATCCTGTGTATTCATTTCATGCTACCAAGTATTAGGCTCTTACATATATATATATAAACTGTACGGACTGCCAAAATGTACCTATTAAAGAAGTGAGGTAGTATTTGGGCTGGAGCCATAAAGAGTCTAAATTGAAATGTTAGACACGTCCATAGAAAGGGCTCAACAGTCTAGGTCCATCATCTGCAATTGTTTGCTACTAGTAGGTACTTTAAGTGTGTAATCACCCACTTGAGTTATGAAATGTTTGCAGTGGTTTTAGTTTTGCAGGGGGTTTTTACTCTTACTGCAAACACACATTTCAAATTGCTACTGTACCACACAATTGGTTCAACTATGAATTCCAAGCACTGTGAAAACCTACTTTTGCCTCATACTCCATAATAAAACCATCATGAAAGTACTTCAGATGTCAGATAAGCTTGATTGACACCTGTCTTTCAGGTCAGGTGAGGAATCCGAATGACTTTTGTTGTTTCTTGCAGGAATCTATCCCGCCGGCAGAGTTTGACTGGGACAGTAGTGGACTCATCAATCCTTTAGATGGTAAGAAACTTAAGTTGCTCATCTTCTCTTCAAGCTTGATGGCCTAATATCACTAGTATAGTAATAGCACTTCATGGTAATGCTTGTAGCTGCTGTTTACTTGGTATTTTTTTCTCAAGTTTATAGAGAAAGGGCCTTTATCTTATCCTGGATATTCGTATGTTTGAGGCAAGGGCTATTGATTATATTGTCGTTTCTCAGAGTCAAACTTTGTTACTGTATATTGGGGGATGAGCGTTGTAAATCATTGATATAAGTATCGTGTCCCTGTCTGTGATTTTTTCCCTTCTTTTGTTTTTATTCACAGTGTTGCAATAGGGACAACAAAACATTTCAAGACTAACTAGAATTATGAAGCTACAGTGATCTCAGTCTTAATGTACCATCTTGTGCTTGCCAACTCACAAGATGTAGCTACGTTCCCAGTTAGTGGGAAATTGAAAACAGAATACATGTGCTGAGTACATTTTGCACTAGTTTTCTCCAGTTTTAGCTTGAATGTTAATAATGTTCAGACCATTAGTAGCCAGAATATTTCACTATACCTGAGATGTACCATCCATTGATTAATCATGAATTCAATGCAGCTTGAACTGATGCTACAGAAAGATGTGTTGTGTAAATTTTCAGATGCATGTTACTGTCAGATATGATAGCAGGTAGAGTAAGAAGACAACAATTCAAGAAATCAGATATTTCAGTCTTCCAGGCAATATGCAATCCTTGGCTTCCTGACGTACCCCATATTGACCTCTAATTTCTACTGGCTCCCAGCCAAATTCTGAGACCTTTGACCTCTGGTTATTCTGCCTGTCGATCCCCCCACCCACATGCTATCAACCTACTCTGTCCAGATAAACACCCACAGTTCAGCCACCCAAAATAAAATAATAAAAGCCCAGTCACCAAGTCTTCTCAAAATAGTTGTCATTGCAGGTGTAATAATTATTCTGTATGAAGCCCATTCACCAAGCCTTCTCAAAATAGTTGTCATTGCAGGTGCATTAATTATTCTGTACATGTACAATGCACATGAAGTGTAGGCGGAACTGTGGTACCATGCAGTGATTTCAGCTCGCTGGGCCGGTGATATACGGGCTCAAACAGCTGTGTCCTTTTCCGCCATAGGCTGAGTCATGGAGGTTTTTGCATATCAAAAATCATATCTCTTCTGGCCATAATGACAAACTTGTAAAACAGCACGACAGTAAAATTTGGAAGTAGCAAATCTGCTGAAACAGGCTGGCAGATCAATAAATAATGGGTCCGTTTGAGGCATTAATATTCCAAAACGGACTTAGAAATGTGAGGAAAATTTGTAAAAGATATCTGACTTGAATAAAACCATAGTAATGTTGATGGAAAAAAAATCTTATGAGATGAATATGAGACTGCATGGTAGCTAGGGACGGGGTAACAGTGGCTGGATCTAATTTACATGCAGAGGAACAATCTTGTTTCAGTCATCACAGACATTTATGATAGTAATGGCCTGATGCTATCCAGATTCTTCATTTGTATTCAAATGGAATGGTGCCCTCAGACATATCCAGACATATAGCCACAGATGCAAGCTTTGTAGGTGGAGGAAAATGTCATTTTAGACAAATATTGAAGCCGCCCATATCATGCATCCTTTACTGCTGTCTGTCCTGAATAGTGATGCTGTACAAATGAATTTTAGATTCAGATGAAATGATGACAGTGAATCAATCGTCTGCAGGCATCAGCAGCTGATGTATCGTAGCTGTAAACATGTTCTTCGACATGTTCACACATGAAGTGTAAGCTTGAGAAACATTTTGTTTCTGACAAATTTTGGAGTTGCTTTCTCCTGCAGCTATGTACCACCAGCACTGTGCAACAATATCCAGAAGAAATAGATTGAAAGATGCATATTAGAAATCCTCAGCAAGTTAAGATACAGACTTTGCTGGTTATGAAAAACATTACCAGTATTTTATATGAACATTATTGGGGCTGTCAATCGTTTCTTTGATGCTGACTGTGTCTATCTGTTGTTGCTGTGTGGATCTGACTACCAATTACCCCTGCTAGACATGCAGTCATGTCTCATTGTCCCGCTGTGTGCTGATCTCACTGATAGGCCATTTCAATAAAGCTGTCATGCTGCAGGAGGACGTGTGTGTGTACGCGCGCAGGCTCTGTGGAAGGACTGACACCATGCGTTTCACACCTATGTTGGGACCTGTTTGGAAAGTTGAAGCTCTGAACTGTCCTTAATGATGACTGGTAACATGCAGTAAAAGTGCTTGGCATAAGACAGTAGGAGCATTCTCTATAGTTACTGAAAATTCATTTGAAAATTATTCAGTCTTTCGAGCTGGTCAGACCCTTCAATATTGCAATATGAACAATAAAACAAAGACTTTTTGAGTATTGTCATTCATACGAAATAAAATCCATCCTGTTCATTGTTGGCAGTGGATGGAGTATTGCTAAGGACATCCTGGGGCATGCTCCACTGGGAATCCCAATCCAGTTAAATTCTTATTTAACACTTTTCCAGAGGCAAATTTCATAGAGTAAAATTTTAGTTGTGAAGTCTGTTTATTTCAAGCTTGCAAAACAATTTTTGAAAGTTAACATTTTTTGGATGGAGAGGGTGAAAAATATTTTCACCACCAACCACCAAAAATCCATCCCAAGATGGAGGGTTGGGTCCAGGAGACAGCCCTACGCACCAAATTGAAACGTGAGCCACTGATTGCTCTAACCTACATGTAGTACTGGTATCCTTGTTATCTTCCCCTTTTGTATGCCTCCCAATTTGTCAGCAACAATGAGATAGCATCAAAGCAAGCACCCCAGACGAGAACAGGTTGCACATACATTCAAAGCTGGTTTTGCAATTTAGATAGTTTGTACATATTGAGAATGTTCTCCCTTATAATTACAACGGGGACACTTGCCCAGGACAATGGGACGCACACATTACCACAGCCCTGTGCAGACAGGGTCCCCGACCTGCCCATGCTGCAAGGTAGAAACTCTGGCTGAAGGCCAGGAGACAGAGAGACAGGATATGGGGAGGGATGAATCATGCTATGTTTCACATTTCCATATTATACTCCTCACAAATGGCTTTTAGATACAGAGCTGAATTATGGTTATTGCGCCGTCTGCTTCCATTCTGCATTCATGATTCCAGTTGCGTACTCCCATGTACACATTCAGATGAGCTTTGATAGGAAACTGATGTTTCAGAATGGAGAGATAATGAAAGCTTGACATACACATATTCACAGGACAAGACAGGAACAGGAAATTGGGCTTGTCATGTTACAGAATCTCCTGTTCTGAGAAGGAAATGTCATTGTATCACCTGTTATTAACCGGATATAACGTTGGTCACAGATGTAGCTTATAGAGAAACTATTGTCTCAAACTTTTACCGATAATTGCCAGTCAAGTACTGTAGCTCTACAGAACAAATTTGAATGAATGACTGTATGTCTAAAGAACAAATTTGCAGTCAACCTTAACAAAATCATCTAATTGACTAGATATTAATTTTAATTGGCAGGAAATAGCGTGGGACAAAGGACCCTTTTCTGTGTAGTCAAAAATTGCAACCATTTTACCTTCATGTGTAATATATGCGCACCAGGTAACCCCATACCATGACACTTTCACGAGGGCATTGTACTTGCCACTACAGAAAACAATTGCACATTTGTTCCAAAATATAGAGAGGCAAACAGTGCCTTGGATGGTGCAGCTGGCTGCTTGCCAGTACATGCTGACAAGGATCTCTCTGTTGGGTTTGTATGTTAGCCAACTGGAGCCATGCAGTTACCTGATACAGCTGCAGCCCTGACATATGCCTGGTAGATACTCAGTCAGCTACCTGTGCAGAGCAGATGTGTCCGTTCTGGCATGGTGGAACACTGTTAGTAGAGCTTGTCCCAGGAAAGAGAGTGTACAAGACATTGACAGTGTTATTTGAAACCTGTAACTAACTACAAATAGATGAGGTTCATAAGAACAGTAAGGGCTTAGGATGATTTGATGAAATATGGTTGGAAAATGAAAAATATGAGTCAAGGCCAAAACGTTTACAAGAATTGCATCCATGCGACTCAAAAATGTACAATTCTGAATGTTCTAGGTAAACAGACTCTTCTAACATTAGACCTTTCACGAAATCACAAGCTCAGTAGCTGGTAATGTATATCTCTGAAATGGCTGCACCACATGTAAGGCTTATGGTTAAGGCATAAGAGCTGGGAAAAAAGTGAAAGAATGAATTTGTCTTCCTTTGTGGCAGGTTTCCCGGTGAGGGATGAGTTGGGAAATGTGACAGGAGGCACGTTGGGTATAAAAAGTTTTGTTGTTGTTTTTTTGCACGGGTGGCTTGCACTGCTAGCCTGGTGTCCATCCTTTTGTAGCTCCAGTTTGCTCCTCTGATCGCATACCTGCAAAACAGTTTGCATCCAGATTCTGGCACGATCCCAATTTAAACATTTTGCATTTACGTCATTGATTTTACCAATTATGCAAGCATCGAATATTCTTCAGAAGCAATGTAACCGAGATCAAACTTCTGAAGGCTTGTTTGAACTAGCTTGGGTACCATCCATTTTTTCTCTTAGTGGAGCAAAATCCGGATGGTACCCAGGCTATGTTTGAACCACATTACAATTCACCTACAGAGGACCGTGCAAGCTTAGAGCTCTTGCGTATATTAATACACAAATACTTTAGCCTTTGAAGTCAAGAAGCCATCAGAGGAGCATAGGATGGAAACCAGGCTATTACACAACTGGTGTCATTAAAACTTGCGTCACCGCTTACCTTCTCCGCTTTTGGTGGTTTGACGTGTGTGGCAGCTGGTTATGTAACGTTCACTCACATTGTAAGTTCATATTGAGCACAATTTTAATATGGTGGCAGCGTAACACTAACAGGGTGGGGTTAGTGTCATCTGGTGCCTATATCATAGTTGTACTTTATGTGCAAAAACCCAATAGTGCATTTACTCATTCTAGAAAAATTAGAACACATTTATTGTCCCAATGTTGAAGATTTCAACCTCTACAGACTATATGAATATGAAAAGGGTATGTCTGTTTCTGAAGTTACCAGTGAATATTTCTAATGATATATTCTTAATTAAGAAATTTCACTTTCAGCAGTACCCTGTCTGAATTTGGATTCGCATTGGTGGTACATGTAGACTACATGTATAAGACAGGTCTTCAAAGTCAAACATTCATTTCTACAACATCAGTCTCTTTCTAACAATTACATCTTTCTGCTAACCCACAGCAAACTGTTATTAAAACATACCGATCTTGTCACTTGCTTTTCTTCTTCAGATGCTTTCATGTTAGAATTGTACTGACCTGTATTGTTGCAATTGTTCCATTTTAATTGTAAGTTGATGCTCAAATGTTCTAGACTGCACTGGCCTACATTGTGACCTTTTTAATATCTGATGTAACCAGTGAAACAAAGCAATTATCATGATTATGAAATAGCATAGATACGTAGTGTGTACGTCATACATACCCCCGAGGTGCAACCGTCATCGTTCTTGGAAATAATCATTGCCAAATACAGGATGTGTGCATCAGGTTTTTTTTGTATTGGAGGATACAGTACCTGGAAAGGAAACTTGGATTTTCATTAAGATTCTTGTTTGTAGATGCATAATTCCAGGAAAATTTTCTGTAACTGGTGACTAGATTGAAAATGGGAGGGGAAAGAAAAGGATAAGTCGTTGATGATGGCAAAAATTACCGTAACAGCAAGAGAAGCATTAAAATCCTGTGGCTTTATTTCATGTAAACATTCTTAGAAAAGTAATCTATGACATAACACAATGCCACACTATGTGTGTTGTCTAACCTTGAAATTTCCAAGGTACTATAACTAAAGACAGCTCACAGTCTATTTATGTGTGTGTGTACATGTACGTATAGGTTATATGTATAATGTATTTTCCAGTCACGATCAAATTAACAGTTTCCATTTTTAGGACAAAGTGTGAGCCAAAAAAAGAAAACCTGGCAAGTCAATAATAATGAGTACATGTAGTTTCTTTGATTGCAACGATGGCTATTTCCGTACATCATATTGAAAGGTACAACAGATTAACAGATGCTAGCAAGCTATTTTTACCACTGTGACAGTCACATTGTTGATAGTCAGCCACTTGCAAAGATTTTACCCCAACCTAACCTGTCCAATTTCTACAGCAAAACCTTCTGTCAATAAAATCTTGGTAAAACACTCCCCTGTTCTGTCCATCCATGGAATGGTTCCACATACATGTACAGGTAATGAATCCATGGTAGCACCATCTGATCACTATGCATACTTGTGTACATGACATGCGTGCTAACTCCATACCTCTCGCATTCATAATTCCGTGCAATTTGTGAAGACAATAATTCTGTGTCATCCCTGATCATGCTCCTTCCAGCCTCCACCAGTGGCTCTACTGTCCTAAACCTCGACTTCTTTGCATCAATTGACGACGACTTAGGCACGTCAAGCAAATCACCAGGTAACAGGTTGCTAGCTCTGTAGTAACTGTTTTCACTGTCTGTTGTATAAAAACACACTTTGCTTTAACAGTACTTCTTTTTCCATTCCTCCTTTGTCTGTGGTATCAGTGGTGGTGAGTAGTGGCTCTCATTAGCCTCTTTTGATATTTTGTGCAGATTTTTTTGCAAGGTATAAGTAGTGTAGCGGCCTGGCACCCGTCCTATTGTAGCTCCCTTTTCTCCTTTGGTGACAGAGAAGCAATCAGGGGAGTGAAGAGGAGCTAGAGTAGGATGGATACCAGGCTGATGTACAGTGTAGTAGGGTAGAAAATAGAAATGTATCACTTGTGCTGTTTTCTTTCTTTCGATTTGCTGTGTTGTGATAAGTGTGGTGTGTGATTTTTTTTCTAGGGCATGTTGGCTTTGCTAATTCTTATTCTAACATCAAGAATTAGCCTCCAGATACTTTTCCAACCATTTAACCATTTGGTGGTGGAGAATTAAGCTATCAAATAGGATTAAATTGTTTACATAAAGCCAGGTAGTTGAAAGGATCAGAAAAACAAGATTGACATATTTAAGATGACCTGACTCTGACACATAGAAATAAAAGACTGCTGTAAGCTATAGCTGGGTTATTCTTCATCTTACTGGCTCTAAATGTACATTTGTATGATTCTGCCTAAATCCAGTGTGCTTAAAAAAAACTAAGCACTTGGATCGCAGCTAAGATGTCAGCATGCTAACTAAAAAGCAAAAGACATTAACTAAATATCTTTTGAGAATATACAAAGATCCACACCAGATTATGCAACAAGAAACCTGTTCTGGTCAAAAATACACCAGAACCTTGTGATGTCCTTATTTTTAAACAGGAGTGTTGAAGTATTGGGAGGTTATCTGTTCTGTTTTGACCTTCTTCACCCCTTAACCAATAGAGAATTGGTAGCCAAACGGCAACATCGGTTTGGTAAATCCTGCCAACTTGTGCTATGGTTCACCTTGGCTGTACCTTGACCCAGGCTTTCAACTATTTACCTTTGGCAGTGACAACTGTTTCCCAATCCAACAAGGACATTGGCCATGTTGGACATGCTAAGAACTGTCAGACCAAGAAAACAAAACCTACATCTCAATCCAAAGGGCCTACTTGTTCACCCCTGTTGCTAATAACAAACCAGATGTATTGAAACAAGAAATGTGCTTGTGAAAAAATGTACTTTGTGCATATCGGAACTCTAAATTGCAATTTGGTGTCACAACTGTATGTTGTACTTCACCAACTAAAGGATTTAATCGGCTATTGGTTCATGCTATAAAATTTATTCCCTTTCTCTTGCAAACGAAGTACATACACTTCATTAAGACAGAAAATATACATAGGACTAATCTGGAGAAAAAGTTCTGATTATTAATCATTTTAGAATGCAGCAATAGATCTGTAAGAAAATACATTGTAGATAAGTTATCCATTTACTACTAGTGGTAAGTTGTAACTGTTAGTTTTTCATCTAGTCTGTAACTATATAGCTAGCCATTGTCCTGTAAAGAGAACTGTACAGTTACATAAGAACACGTTCACAGAACCTTCTAATTCTCCAGTATTAGATAATAGATATATAATCAATTTACCTCAGTACTACCAATAGTGCAAACCTATTCACAAAGCCTTCTGTTTCTCTTGTTCCCAGCCCCACTGGACGCAGCACTGATGGGTCTGGGCCTGGACTTGTCCCCAAGTCTCGCCCCACCCCCTGGCAGCAAACCCCAGTCTACGACGTACGATTCTCTCCTGGCCAGCATCAAAACCTCGGCCACCATCACCGCCCCGCTACGGAAGGAGGACGTAGACAAGGACCTTAGTGAGGAAGCACGGGGCATCATGTCGCGTCTGCCTGACCTGTCCTTCATGACGGCCAAAGTGCTGATGTTTCCCGCCAGTCTGAGTAAAGCACAGGAGGAAACACCGAGTACAGATAGCAGCTAGGATACATTATTACTGTAATTTCTGATTTTTTTTTCCTGGCACTGTTATGTTTGCGGTCACTTCTGTATTACAAACTTATCATTACTGTTAACAAATAATTTGCCAACTTTCTTTGTTCTGCACGTGCCGCCACCATCTTCTCTTTGATTGATCTTTCCTCCTGTTTGGTGAACACATGCTTGAAGATAAATGAAAAAGAAAACACTTTAGAAGAATAACTCTGATTGGAAAAGAGGCGATCAACAGAGACTCCTTTCCTGGGAAATCCTATTTGTTACCTCAGATGTTATATTTTTCACATCTTCCACATGATCATCTTTTATTGTGAAATTGTCTCCGGAGCAAAACCATAGTGATGACAATTGGTCATAGGTTACAAGATTCTTGCGAACAAGCCTCGTTTGTAGCGATGCTAGTCATAAATGTTTTGCATTCTAGAGCAGCCTCCATGCACCTGGTTAGAACAACACTTGAAGGCTTAAATGGCTATTTTTAGAGTGTCAATTGCTACTCAATGAAATATACTTACTACAGTGCTTATATATATACTGCTAATTTCTCATCGAATGTCAGACTTCGCATCGATACTGCTGCTTTGATGTATTTGCTGTAATCCTTGACATTTGTGAGATACTCTATTATTTATGTGCAAACAATATTATAACGGGAAACAAATGTAACCTTGTAACATGTACATATATAATTAGATGATTGTTAAAAGCTGTGGTGAAAATTTTAAACATGGGTTGGGGTTATCTCATGTACCCAAAGCTAAGGTACACCTTAACCTGTTGTACCTTCATTGGAAATGCTTGTAGATAACTGGCAGCCCTGTCCTTGTACGTATTTTGTCCATTGATATGACCAAAGGATGAAGAAATGTAAATCAGTACAAGTCAGTTTATGTGATTTTGTAGTCGATGCTTATTCTAAACAGGACTTAAGATATACTGTAAATGTACATGTACATTGTACAAGACACATATAAATGAATACACATGGATGTCTAAGAGCAAAGTTTCAGATGCACGCTATTGTGCTATTTATAGTAACTAAGGAAGCGTTGGGCTTATTTTAAGAGTAGGAACAAAAGTAAGTAGGTAGGATGTGGAGTGCCTGTCTCCTTCCAAATATAGGAGGACTCAGCAAAAGTGTGCACAGTGCCATTGTACACAGACTATCTCAGACAAAACAATTTTCCAAATGAAGTTACAGTCCAGTTAATTATATCCTTGGTACAATAGTATTTTAGATGTGTCTGGGATGGTTTTCTGTTTTTAAAAAATGCAGAAAATATGCCATCCTTTCTTTCTGTTCACTGAATGTTGTTACACTCTTCCACCATAAAACATTGAAACAATAAAAATGTAAATCTTT